GTGACATGGCACCTTAGTCCTTCTCTAAAGATGGGCCTGGAGACCTGCCATTGAAGGACCTCAGGGTGGACCGAGCTCTAGGTACCTGGCTGTGGTTTGGTTTTCGGTGTCTGTTAGCAGAGCATGAGGGCCCACACTCACCAAGTGAGTTGACCAGTGAACCAGTGTGGGGTGGAGGTGGTTGTGTCCAATAAGCCAGGGTGCTGCGCAGCTGTCCAGGGGGAGGAGGGTCCCCACCAGTGAGGGCGAGGTGCAGGGGCATTTGACTTTAACCAAAGGCCGGAGGCAAATGGCCCAGAAGTCCTTGGGTGGGGGGTGGGGGGACGAGGGCATCACTTCCTGACCTCTTACCCCCTGAGGAGCTAGTGACTTCTCAGGATGAATATAGCACGAGCTTTAAAAGAGCTCTTAAATATCACACTGATCAAGACTGAAAAGAGCCAACAGATCAGCAACTTGCCAGTTCTTGGTGAAGTGCTAGGAGTGGCCCAGTGTGCAGGCATCGCCCCCACTGCTGCTGCCCCAGACGGGGCCTATCCGGAGTGCCATCACACCACCGTGGGCATGTCTGAGAACAAGGTGTCTCTACTGCTTTAGGACAGCTGAGATCTAGACCTTGTACCTAGAGAGCTGCAGCTTGTTGTCACCAATAGCCAATGCTGCTGTGACCTGACACGCACGTGGCATCAGGTCTTCTGACCCAGTGTGTTGTGGCCCCATCTGGGTCTGTGTTTTGATTGTAGAAAATTCACAGTTGGGAAAAAATAATACTCAAGTTCTAAATATATTCAGCTCTCTAGTAATGGAATCGTGTTGCTTTGAAAAATGCCGGCTCCTAACCTCAATCCTCACTGCCGCCAAGTTGATTCTACACGGCAGGCCTACAGCAGAGACCACCCTGTGGGTTTCCGAAGCTGCAGCTCTCAAATGCTGACCTTGCAGTGGGCAGCCCACGGAGTAACCTGCCACACTAGCGATCATCAATAAAGCTCACTTCCCTCAGCTCCACTGTGTGTCAGCAATGCCCGGCCCCCACCAGCTGGGCAAGTCTTCAGACCCCACCTAGACCTGCAGACCAAAGTGGGG